CCTTTTCCAGTGCAGTCTGGATCAGCCCGTGCCAAATGGTGGGACTGTGCTTCCACCCCAGGGGCAGTTGGTTCCAAGTATAATGCACACCCCTCCAAGCGAAGGCAAACTGAGGCCTGCCTTCTGCTGCCAAAGGAAGGGAGAAAAACACATCAGTGATGTCAATAGTGGCGTACCACTTCACTACCTTGGACTCAAGCTCGTACTGAAGCTCCAACATGTCCAGCACATCAGTGATCAGTGGTGGAGTTGCTTCCTTCTAGCCATGATAGTCCAGTCAATCTCCATTCCCCATCAGACTTTTGCACAGGCTAAACAGGACTGTTGAAGTGTGAGTGGGCCTTGCTGAGGACCCCTTGACTCTCCAGCTCACAGATTATCTTGTAGATGGGGATCACAGCATCCCAATTTGTCTGATACAGCTGGCGGTGCACTGTTGAGGTGGTGATCAGTTCTTGTTTCTCCTCCACCTTCAGGAATCCAACTGCAGAAGGATTCTCTGACAGTCCAGGCAAGGTGTTAAATTTCCTAATACCCTCTGACTCCACAGCAGCTATCCCAAAAGCCCACCTGAGTCCCTTTGGGTCTTTGAAATACCTGCTGCAGAGTAAATATATTCCCAGAATACATGGGGTCTCTGGACCAATCACAATAGGCTGTTTCTGACACTCCTTCCCCATCAAGCTCACCTCAGCTTCCATCAGGGTCAACTGCTGCAATCCCCCTGTCACCCCAGCAATAGAAATGGGTTCTGCCCCCATATGTCCCCATGGCATTAGGGTACACTGAGAACCAGCATTTGTCAAAGCTTCTAATTTCTGTAACTCTGATGTGCCAGGCCATTGGATCCACACAGTCCAAAATAACACATTCTCCTGTGCCTCAATTTGGCTAGAAGCAGGGCCCCTCTAGCCCTGGTTTTCATTCCCTCCTTGGGCATAAATTCTAGAGGTTCCGTCAATGACATCCAACACATCATCCTCCCTTCTGTTATACCTAGCAGCTCAGTCACGGGAGGCTGAGGCTACCTTCACTTTAGCAGAACTCCCTCAGTTAGTGTTTTCCACCTTGATTTGATACACCTGTGCTGCCAGGACAGGAGGGGGTTTTCCATCCCACCTTCTCGTATCTTCCCCATGGTCACACAGCAAGAACCACAGGTCAGCTCATGGGGTGCACCCCCTCTCCCTAGCTGGGGGGTGTTAGGCTCTGACGTTTGGGCCTGTGACTTGCACTGGTGCCACATGGGAGCTGTTCCTCCTAACCTCCTCCATCACGTCCCTAATCTCCTCTTGGACACTTTTAACCACAGCAGAGACATGAGCATGAATTGAGCCACTGACCATATTCTCATAATTCCTGAGCTTCTTGGCTACGGAACCCACTGTGCCTCGGTTGTTATCACCATTAATTGTTGCAATGAAGGTTGTGTATTGAGATGGCCCTAGGTTTGCCAGGTTCTGCAACAATTGCCCTGTGCACCTGACCTTGTCAGGTTCATTATTGTGCTGTCTGTCCCTTCCAAAGAGTACCTCTAGTACTGTCACTTCTCTCAGGTGTTGGATCCTTTCCTCACAGTTCTTCCAGGGAATTCTATGATGATACTCTTGCATTCTGTCTCTGTAGACAAACCTCTCTTACACTCGTTAAAAGATGCTCCCAGAGAGAAAGGGGCCCTGGCTCCCTCACAAACACCAGATCAATACCTGCATCTTGGGTCATGAGGGAGCTGGCAGATGAGCTTGTGAAGCTACTCTCCATCATTTTCCATCAGTCCTGGCTCACTAGGGAGGTCCCAGATGACTGGAAGCTGGCCAATGTGATGCCCATTCACAAGAAGCACTGAAAAGAGGATCTGGGTAACTACAGGCCAGTCAGCCTGACCTCAGTGCACAGTAAGATTATGGAACAGATCATCCTGAGTGCCATCGCTGTCGTGGTTTGAAAAGACAGGTGTCTGCTAAGGAAGGCAGGAGCCTCCCCTGAAATGGAAATTGTAAACCCCCTCCCTCTAAATTGTTTTAATTTTGAAATTAAGGGGCTCGCAGGCAAAGATATGGGAGCAGGAATAACAGTTCTTTATTAGGGAAGAAAATTTTTAAAAATGCAGTAATACAAAACAAGACTGACAGAGTCAGAATATGACCTGACACCCTGTTGGTCAGGGTGTTGGTAGCATTCCAATTGAAATGGTGGCTGCAGTCCTCCTGGAGTGACAAATGTGGTTCTGTTGAAGCAGTGATCCTGTAGAAGGGTGTAGTCTTCCTCTGAAGATCCAGTGGTGGTGTAGATGGGCCTAGTCTTCCTCTAGGAATCCAGTGGCAAAGGGTTGCTCCTCTGGGAATCCAGTGTAAAATGCTGGCTGTGGTCTTCCATATCTCTGATTATATCCAGGTAGGAATGCTTGACTCCTCCCTCTGGGCAGAGCAACTAACAATGGGATGATGTAATTTTATCAGTCATGCAGTGACACTCAATGGCCCATTAACAGAAGGTATCTCCCCAGAGGAAGGATTGGTTGAGGAAGAGATAAACTGCCCAATTAATAGAAGATAACTATCCCACCTCTAACAGATAGGAATAGAATACACACCCCCATTTCCAACCTAAGACAATCACACAGCACCTACAGGATGGCCGGGGGATCAGACCCAGACAGCACGGGTTTAGGAGGGGGAGGTTGTGCTCAACCAACCTGATGTCTTTTTATGACCAGGAAACCTGCCTGGTGGATGCAGTAAAGACTGTGGATATTGTCTACCTGGATGTCAGCAAGGCCTTTGACACTGTCTCCCACAGCATACTCCTGGAAAAGCTGGCAGCCCACAGCTTGGACAGGTGCACTTTTCACTGGGTTAAGAACTGGCTGGATAGCCAGGCTCAGAGAGTGGTGGTGGACGATGATGCATCCAGTTGGCAGCCAGTCACTAGTGATGTCCCCCAGGGATCTGTGCTGGGGCCAGTCCTGTTTAATATCTTCACTGATGATCTGGACAAGGGGATTGAATCCACCATCAGTAAATTTGCACATGACACCAAGCTGGGAGCATGTGTCAATCTGTTGGAGGATAGGATGGCTCTGTAAATGGACCTGGACAAGCTGGATAGATAGGAGAAGCCAAACAACATGAAGTTTAACAAGTCCAAGTGCTGGGTCCTGCACTTGGGCCACAACAACTCCCAGCAGCAATATAGGCTGGGGACAGAGTGGCTGGACAGTGCCCAGAAAGAAAGGGACCTGGGGATGCTGGTTAGCAGACGACTGAATGTGAGCCAGCAGTGTGCCCAGCTGGCCAAAAAGGCCAATGACATCCTGGCCTGTATCAGGAATAGTGTGGCCAGTAGGACCAGGGAGGTCATTCTTCCCCTGTACTCGGCACTGGCAAAGCCACACCTTGAGTACTGTATCCAGTTCTGGGCCCCTCAATTTAGGAATGGCGCTGAGATGCTCGAACATGTCCAGAGGAGGGCAACTGTGGGAGTCCAGGGCATCCCTCTGGCTGCCCTGGAAGGTCTGGGACCCTGGCAGGGGGTCAGGAACCCCCCTGTACAGAGCCCTGAGAGACCCTGTCTCTGATCTCTGTCCATGGAAAAGAGTTTTCAGTCTTACAAGGATGAATTACAAGCTCTGAGTGTTTGATATGAGTAATAATTAAGTGTGGCACGGGTGCAAAAGTAAAATTTTAGGATTTTAGGTAAGGAGTCCAAAGGGTACAAGATGGAGAAAATTGGGTGTGTCTTGTCCTTTTTCTTCTTCTTCATGCCCTCCATGTTTCACCGTAGTGTTGGCATTTTTCTATTGGTTTAGGCTGGGGACACTGTTCAACGTAGATGATAGATATTGGCACATTATTGTAAATATAGCACACATAGTTTCTGGTATATAATGTTTGTAACATCCCACTGAGGGCAGAGCCCCGCACGCTGCCCTGCAGGACAGACCTGCGGCAGGGCAGCAGAACATGTTATAGATTAGCAAGAATAAACAACCTTGATAACCAGCACAGACGAATTACGACTTCTTCTTTGGCTACGGGGCTCAGAGACAGTCTTGGAATCATCAATACCACAGATTCCAACAGGCAACAATGCTGGTGGTGAGGGGTTTGGAACACAAGCCCTATGAAGAACAGCTGAGGGAGCAGGGGTTGTTTAGCCTGGAAAAAAGGAGGCTCAGAGGAGACCTTATCACTCTGTACAACTACCTGAAAGGTGGTTGTAGTCAAGTGAGGGTTGGTCTCTTCTCCCAGGCAACCACTGACACAATGAGAGGACCTACTCTTAAGCTGCACCAGGGCAAGTTTAGGTTAGATGTTAGAAAAAAATTCTTCACTGAAAGAGTGATTGGGCAATGGAATTGTCTGCCCAGGGAGGTGGTAGAGTCACCATCCCTGGATGTGTTTAAAAAAAGACTGGACAAGGCACTCAGTGCCATGGTTTAGTTGATGAGGAGGTGTTAGCTTAGGCCATAGGTTGGACTTGATGATTTCAAAGGTCTTTTCCAACATTGTTCATTCTGTGATTCTGTGATTCTGTAATACACTTACTGACGAAAAGTTCAGGAAAGGACAGCATAAATTCTTATCACAACATGGAAACCCTGAAAAGAAAACAAAGCATCTGAGAAGACCCACAAAGTTCTTTTCCAAACTTGGAGAAGTGCTGAAACATCTCTGAGGAGGGTTGGAAGTAATCATTATGCATTCAAGTAATGAAAATCTTGTAAACATGAAATTTTAATCAACAAATTTAAAGAAGCCGAACTTGCAATATTCCAACCTTCCAAACTTGGTAACATCCACTCAAAACATTACCAGATTATAAGCGTGTTGTTGTTATGGCTGTGAGAATGGGGTGCCTTTCTCGTGTAAGGGCAGAAGTCGCGGAAGGGAGGGCGAGCGCGAGCACGGTCGGAGTTTGGCGCTCGCTCCTCGGCCAGTCGGACGTCAAGGTTCCGGGCGGGGAAGGGGCGGGCCAGACCGTGCCCATCGATGGGGGCGGCCGCTCTGTTCTCGGCTCCTCTGTCCTGCCTCTCGGCTCTGTATTAGCGAAACTGGCGACGTGGGATATCCGCCGGCTCGGCCTCTGCGCCTGCCTCGCCCGCCGAGGTGAAGTCGGGACTGGGAGCTGACCGCCGCAGCGTCCCCGCGGGCCAGACGCAGAGGGCCGCGGCGCTCTCCTGCACAGCTCAGCCGGCGTGGTGAGGTGAGGGGCGGCGGCGGGAAGCTCCCAGCGGGAGGTTGGGCGGTGGGGCCATGGCGCTGCAGGCCCGGGCGCTGTACGACTTCAAATCGGAAAACCCGGGGGAAATCTCGCTGCGGGAGCACGAGGTGCTGAGCCTCTGCAGTGAGCAGGACATCGAGGGTTGGCTGGAGGGTATCAACAGCCACGGCGACCGCGGTCTCTTCCCGGCCTCCTACGTGCGGGTGATCCGCGCCGCCGAGACGCCGCCACCCGCCCGCTACGCCAACCTGCCTGCCGGCGGTTTAGAGCCGCTGCTGCCCCCCGCCGCCTTCAAGCCGGCGACACTAGAGGCCCCGCCGGCGGCGGCGCCTGAACCCTTCTTGCTGTCCCCCTCCGCCGCCGGGTATCCTTTCCTGCCGTCGCCCTACGGCGGCTCCTACCAGCTCAGCCAGGGCAGCGATGACGACTGGGACGATGACTGGGACGAAAGCTCCACGGTGGCCGATGCGCCAGTCTCCCTGAGCAGCTCCTACCCCGTCTATGAGATGGCGGGCAGACGGGCCTCTGGCCACTACCGCGTGTCCATGCAATCTGAGATATCCCTTAGCTCCCGCAGTGGCCACCTGGCAGGCCACCTGCACCTGCCCAGCAGCAGCACTAAGAGTTTGGCCACGGTAAGCCGCAACCTCAACCGCTTCTCAACCTTTGTCAAGTCTGGTGGGGAGGCCTTCGTGCTGGGTGATGTATCAGGCTTTGTGAAGGACGGGGACAAGTTGTGCGTGGTGCTGGGCCCCCGGGGCCCTGAGTGGCAGGAGAACCCCTACCCCTTCCAGTGCTCCATCGAGGACCCCACCAAACAGACTAAATTCAAGGGCATGAAGAGTTACATCGCCTACAAGCTGGTGTCCAGCCACACTGGGCAGCAGGTGCACCGCCGCTACAAGCACTTTGACTGGCTCTATGGGCGCCTGGCTGAGAAGTTCCCTGTCATCTCTGTGCCCCACTTGCCAGAGAAACAGGCCACTGGCCGCTTTGAGGAGGACTTTATCTCCAAACGTCGCAAAGGCCTGGCCTGGTGGATGGACCACATGTGCAGCCACCCCGTGCTGGCTCAGTGTGATGCCTTCCAGCACTTCCTCACCTGTCCCAGCACAGATGAAAAGACCTGGAAACAAGGCAAGCGCAAGGCTGAGAAGGATGAGATGGTGGGTGCCAACTTTTTCCTGACCATCAGTGTCCCTACTGGCTCTGGGGCTGGCCTGGACTTGCATGAAGTAGAAAGTCAGATGGATGGCTTCAAAGCCTTCATGAAGAAGATGGATGAAAGTGCCCTGCAGCTTAATCACACAGCCAATGAATTTGCTCGCAAACAAGTCACTGGTTTCAAGAAGGAATACCAGAAGGTGGGGCACTCCTTTAAGTGTCTCAGTGAGGCATTTGAGCTGGACCAGCAGGCCTTTTCGGCTGGCCTCAACCAAGCCATAGCCTTCACTGCAGAAGCCTATGATGCCATTGGAGACCTCTTTGTAGATCAGCCCCGGCAGGACCTCGATGTTCTGATGGATTTGTTAGCACTGTATCAGGGGCATTTGGCCAACTTTCCAGATATCATTCACGTCCAGAAAGGTAACATCCTTACATGTTTTCTGAAACAATTAAGTTTTATGTTTCAGTGGTATGCACACAGATATGGAGACAAAGGGCTAAATTTGCTCTGCATCTGGCTTGCTGACCTTGAGTTAAATCTTTCAGTGTTTACTCAGGTAAACTGTTGCTAAAAATACAAAATACCACATCAGTGGCAATTTGCATTCTGTGCCAAAGGTCTATAAATTGTTGGGAATTTTATTGGTCAGAGATTACTGTGTTTGTTTGTGTATCTGAAAGAAACCACATATGCCTATACTGTTGATACATTAAAGATTAATGGGCTTGTTTACAAAGCCTGAAGACAAAGTGGTATGGAAATATCTGATACTCTTTGATGTATGTTAGTTATCTTAAATCTCTGATCTAGTAGATAAATATGAAGTAAATGGAAGATGGAAATAGTCTGATTGACTAGTTTGTTTGAGGTGCACATGGTGGTGTGTGCATTTTTCAGTGTCAGACATTCAGATGAGATGTTTAAAGCTGCTGGGGTTTGTCAATTCAGCCATACATGAAACTCTCTTGCTACCTTTGTAAGGATGATGGTCTGCCATGATGTTCTTAGTTGGAGTTGTTTATCCTTTGACCTTATTATCACAAAAAGATGTTGCTCACCTGTTATCCTTTTATCATCTTTCTAACTGAAACATGCTTCTGAGGTTCAGGTTGCTGTTTGTATGATGCTTTGTGATCCACTGGAGAAAAAGAAACTCCAAATATAAAAAATATCATCTGCTATATAACTAGTGACACTTGTTCAGACAAATCTAAGCTTATAGCATATGTGTAGATGATTTCCCAGCTATGAAGTTAATACTTATCATATATTCATCATTATGAAAAGACTAGCCCATCATTCATTCTTTTTGCTGTTATATATGATCATGGATGTGTGGGGATAAGAGCTGTAAAAGAGACCGAGAAAACATTACATATTCAGTACAGAAATGGGTATGTGTAACAGTTATTTGATAAAATGTGCAAGTTTCTTTATTGAAAATTATTTTGGAGATTAGTGGGCCATGTTGTACTCCAGAATAGGCAGAGCTTGAATTGTCATCCATGGTGAATCAATCTTTTTTACCCTTATGTGTAATTTCCAAAATTTTTACATCTGGAACAGTACCTTGAGTTTTATAGTAAAAAAGTAGGAAGAGTTTTTCAATAGATCAAAAAGGCAGGCTTCCAGGAGGTGTGCATTATTGCTGGGAAAAACTGAGGAGGCAAAGTTGGTATAAAGTGAACAAATTGTTATTTTAAAAAAGTAAGCTTTTCATCAAAATTACATGTATCAAAGTCAGATTTCCATTCTTCTGTCAAATCTTGAAAATTATGAGTGGAAACTTAAACAATATTGTTTTGAATAGAAAAGGGAAGTGTGTAATCTAATCTTAAAGGAGTTGCTCTGTTGCTGTGTCATTGTGTTCTGATAACAAATTTAAAGTATTTTAAATTTGGAAAGAAGGATGACCTCGATAATGCCTCATGTTTGAGAGCAAAGAATTTTGGAGTGAGTTGTCAAATAATAATAGGATTATTTGTAAGCTTCTGGAAAAATCAGAGGGAAAGATTTTTAACTAGGTGGAATAAGACAGCAGATGATATGTACTATTTAAATACTGTATCCTCAAGATTTAAGACTATATAAAGGTCTTCAATGTAATATTCTGGAGACTTTACTCTGAGGACTGTGAATAATAAGTAATGTTCTTAACCCATATTTCCTTCAGTTCGCATAGGTCTTTTTCCCTTATAGTTCTGTTTAAATCTGCACTTATTGTTTAGGTTTACCATGTTGAACCAGAGAAAGATAATCTAACTGAGCTTCCACTAGAGCAGTGCATGAGCATGATGTATGAAGAGCTGATTTTGTGCCAGAGCACTGTCTTGGAACTGGTTGGAGAAATGTATAGTCAGTCTGTGTGCAGGTGCTGATGCTCCAGGACCTCTTGTCTAAAACTGCCTTTAACACTATTTTCCCTGGTACATATTTGCCTTTAGAAAATGGCATGCTGTGTTGGTTTTGCATGGCCTGGTTTTTGGTAGCGGGGGGGCCACAGAGGTGGCTTATGTGAGAAGCTGCTAGAAGCTTCTACCATGTCTGGCAGAGCCAATCCCTGATGGCTCTGAAGATGGACAATGATGCTGGTTAAGGCTGGGCCAATTAAAGATTATGGTAGTGCCTCTGTGATAACATATTTAAGAAGAAAATCAAAACAAAGTGGGGGCAGTTTTAGTTCCAGCTAGAGAAGAGGAGGAGATGAGAACATGTGAGGGAAACAACATAGAGACACTAAGGTCAGTGGAGAAGGAGGGGGAGGAGGTGGTCCAGGTGCCAGAGACAAGATTCCTCTGCAGGCCGTGGTGAAGACCATGGGGAAGCAGTCTGTCCTCCTTCAGCCTATGGAGGTCCATGGGGAATGCAGAGATCCACCCACAGCCCGTGGGGGAGGTGCCCATGCCGGAGCAGGTGGATGCCTGGAAGAGGCTGTGATCCAGTGAGAGACCTGGCGGAGAGAGGGAGCCCCTGCTTCCAGGCTGAAGCAGCCTGTCCTTGGAAGACTGCACCCTGTGGAAGAGTGACATACACCACAGCAGTTTTGGGAGGTCTGTTTGCCTGTGGGACGGACTTATGTTGCAGCAGTTTTGGGAGGACTGCTGCTTGCAAGATTGGAGAAGTTGGTGGAGAGCTCTCCCCCATGGGAAGGGACCCCACGGTGTAGCAGAGGACGGACCCCTCTCCCTGAGCAGTGGAAGAAAACCTCAGGTGATGAACTGACCAGAACCCCCACTCCCTGTCTCCATGCACTGTTGGTGGGAAGGAGGGAGGGGCTGGGGGAAAAAAGGTGTTTTTAAGGTCTTATTTTACTTATCATTTTTGTGCTGTGATCTTCTTAATAGTAAATGCACTTTATAGCTCTAAGTCAAGCTTGTTTTACCCTTGGAGTGTTTTCTGTCCTCATTCCAGCTGTGTGAGGGGAAGGTGAATGAACAGCTGTTGTGGGTGTTTGACCAGTGTCTAACCATGACACATGCGTTTGAGATATTGGTCTTTTGAGTGTCCATGTTAATCATAGGAATAGGGTTAGAGCCAGGTTAATTGTTTGTTTTTATTGTTCCCTTTAAAAAATAGGCAAACTGGAAGAAAACTGAGAGGAAGATGTTTTTTACTCCCAGTATATTGCTGTTTTACTACTTTGAAAAATTACTTTTAACAAGGTATAACTTTTTGGATCAGATGAAAATATGAACTGTTTGGTGTTCTTGCAACATAAGAGATTTCTTTTAAATTTACTGTGATGGTTGTCAATATTTGAGAATTATTGTCTGTATAGACCAAGCAAAAATCTTTCAGTGTTTTCTAGTGTGCAACTTCTTTGTGTGTGTCCTTAGAAGTGGTAGAAACAACAAGCTGTTTGGTATATTGCTTACATGGCCATGACTTTAAAAACATGAACTCTGAAGTTAGGAATACTTTTCCATTTTTTTTTCTACACCATGCAAATGTATTATACACTTGGGGCAAAACTTGAAGCATTTTTTAGACTCCATTTCTATATTGTCCTAGACCTAAGAAGGACCAAAAAAATATATAAAGTCTGCTATGCTCAAAACATACCCATATCTGTGGGTAGAATATGACTCCCTTGTCCTGTTGTAGGTTTGCTCTACTGCAGATAGTTGAGCAGGTACTTAGTGTGATTTGGAAGTGTGTTTTGTGGTATGGACTGTGAAGTCTGCATGTCTGGGGTTTTTGCTTAATTTCTGCAGTTCTTCTTCTGCAAAAAGAAAGCCAGAGGATCTCTGAGCCAGAGAGAAAAAATTCCCTCAATTCGGGCTTTATCTTTTCTCTTAGAATTATGAACCAAAGCCATGTAAGCCTCACTATTGCTTTGTCTGTGTAGCAGCAGGAAAATGTCTTAACTATTGTGATCTTTTATTGTTTTGGGGTCCAGGTCTTTCTGCCTCCCATGTTGAGGATACCATACATGATCTGAAGTGTGCCAAAAGAGGTTGTCATTTTGGTCACTTGTGTAAAATATGTGGACCACTGGACTGTGTGAATATTTTCAAGCTGTTTATTATCTTATTAATATTGTAAGTATTTTATGAAATTGCAATAACTTTAATAGGAGGTCTTAAAAGATTCCTCACCTTCATCTAGAGCACCCAGTGTTTAAGGAATGTTCTGTGAGAAAAGAAAAAGTTGAACTTCTTGCTCTGGAAGAGACAAAGGAAAGATTTGAATTCCCATATGCCAGTTGAGAACCAACTTCTATTTTAGTAGGCTTTGTCACAACCCACTGGTAGGGGATGTGATGTTCATTATAAGTTCTCATCAGGCAGAACAAAGACACCAAACCAAGGGTCAGAGAGCTCATATGTTTTATTCTACAATCATCTTAGCTCTGGCAACTAGCCCACTGCTTAGACTCAAAAGCTGTTGGCTAACAAGTCCTTACATTTTAAAATACACTTCTCAAAAGGTATTGGCTAACAAGCCCTTAATTTACAGTACACTTCAATAAGCTCTCAACTCCTGCAACAAAACTTCTCAAAGGTGCTGCCTCACAAGCCACAACAAACTAACAGAAGCTCCCCACTCCTACAACAGACTTTCGTATAGAGTACCTGGTAGAATACGATAGCTGTGCTTTGCCCAGGCAAAGCAAGGGAGAAGAGAAATAAAGGCAAAAAAGGGAGAGAAAAGAAAGATCACCAATCCTTAGAGCCCCCATAGGTACTGCTGCATGGATAGTCTGGAGCTGGTGAAGCAAAGAAAGCAAAAGAGGGAAAAGAGAAGAGGGAAAGCTATCAGTTTCCTTTTATAATTAATCTGGTGCATGCCTCATGTAAACTAGACTTTTCATGCTGTTTTATTCATGTGCGCACAGTCAGCCCTTTGAGCCGTCCCTCAGAACGGTGACCTGGGGGGGAGGGAGAGTTGATGGGGGCACGAGTCAAGGCAGAGCAGC